GGCCTGCAGACAACCTTGTGGCTCAAGATGGCAGCAGCGCCTACATCACTCTCCAGACTCCATCTAAAATGGTTTGTGACAAGAGCAGGGACGCTGCAGCATGGTTGGAACGCTTTGCCCGCCAGTCTGACTATCCTGCAAAATATAACGGCCACGTCCCTCCAAGGAACACAATGAGGGGAATCTATCAAAACTGGGGCAGACAAATTCTAGAGCAGCTGTGCACAGCAACCAATCAGCTTCCCTCTTTCATTTTCATATCTTAACTGAACAAACTGAAGAGAGATGCTGACCGGTTGCCATGCACAGCTGCTCCAGAATTTGTCTGCCCCAGTTTTGATAGATACTATATTCTTCGCAATAAGCCCTCCACTTTCTGTCTACAGGAGACTCATACCACCCCCTGATCCCTCCATTATCTCTCTTTAGGAGATGCATACCACCCCGATACCTGTAATTTGCTTGACAGTCCTTTCTGTTAGGCAGCCTATCATTCTTCCTACTCCTCATACTCACGTAGAGTTTCCATACTTAGTCATAGAACTATTCTGTTCTCCTGCATACAAGTAAAAGTAGATGAGGCTGGGCGTTATATTTTTCTCCATTATTTGATTTAGAGTGTATTATTGTCAGCATATATATTCCACCACTATTCTCCAACAGTGCTCTAAAAGATTTAGCTTGATTTCTACGTGACAAACTCCCCATTCTTGCTTTAGCTATAGGTGATTTCAATAACTATATGGACCTTTCTATGGGTAAAATCCCAAATCTGGATCAGCTGATTGCTCCATTATAACTTCCTTCAGCAAGGTGTGTTCAGAGATGGGCCTGCTGATCCCTCTAGTGTACTTTAACACAGTCAGAAGATTTTAGGAATATTTTGCAAATTTTAGGAATCTTTATATACTTCTAAGGCATATTATACTGATTTAGACTTGCTGATCTACCGACAGAATATTACTTTGCCAAATTGAATAAATGCTGATAAAACAGATCTGGATGCTCCCATTACTCTGGAGGGGTTGGAGAGGACAAGTAGCTAGTTTGCCAAATGGCAAGGCTCCTGGGCCTGACGACCTTCCTATAAAAGTGTACAAGAATGATATGCAATAGCTTATTTCTAGTCTACTGCAGACATATAATGATGCTGTTTCTAATGGTTATCTACCACCTACTACCCTGTTTCCCCCGAAAATAAGACCTACCCCGAAAATAAGACCTAGTTTGGTGGTAGCATGTGAGGGGGAACTTGCAGGAGAGATGGTATCAGCCTGCAGGGACATACTGTATTAAGGGGATGACAGGGGACTCCCTCCGGCCAGCGCAGTGACAGGGAGAACTCCAGTACCATACTTCACCAACTGCTGTCCCCCTGAAGGCACTGCTTAATGTAATGGTACTGTACTGTAATGTGTACCGTTAAATGGTACCATACTTTACCGTGCTGTCCACTGTCTGATGTTCCCACTGCTGCACCGCTGGTAGCGCTGTCCCTGATGGCAAAGGAAGCCGGCGCTGTAGAAAGCAAGGCTGTGGCTACGGCGGCGGAGGGAGCAGAGCCGCATTAGCAGATACTTCCTCTATAGCGCCGGTTACTGTGACAGGCGGAGTGATACCAGATAACTTTGGATTGTTGTACATTTTGTTGCACATTAAAAAAAAAATAAGACATCCACTGAAAATAAGACCTAGTGTGGTTTTTGGGGGCAAAAAAAATATAAGACAGTGTCTTATTTTCGGGGGAAACACGGTATGTATGATGCCACTATCATTATTCTCCCTAAGAATAACAAGAACACCCTTTTATCAGATTCATATAGACCAATCTCCCTTCTTAATGATGACACCAAGATGTTGGTCAAAGTGCATGCGAACAGATTATCGGCCACAATAATCTGACTTTCCTAAAAGGGACAAACCCGACTTGATTAAGGTGAATTAAGGTGGGGATATGGGATTTAAGGGAATTGGCTATAATTGTTGCATAAAGTTTAAGACATATATTAATGAGAGAAATCAGTCTGCAATTAGAACAATTTGAGGTGTCCTTATGTTCCTTTCGTATTACAATGATGTGAGCCTCTTGAGATTGGGGTGTGAAAGGGTTGAAAGGATGTGTAACCATCAGTAGCTGGACTTCTTCCCACAGTTAGGGAGTCAATGGTCCAAGTGATTTCCATTAGTGTAAAAGGGTCAGATAGGGAGGCAATGGCAGATTCAGATAGTTTGGGTAAGCTAGTGGAGGACACACAAGATTGTATATATCTTCTGATAAAAAACTGGAAGGGGAGAAAGAGATGGATGTTATATTATGTAATGTGGCGTAATAATGATGAAAAGCGTTAGCTATTTGCTCAGAAGTAGGAACCTGGCCTTGCACAGGACAGGTGATTTTAGATATAAAGGTACGAGCCTGTCTATATCTGATAGATCTAGCCAAAAGCTTACCACACTTATCACCAAATTTGTGAACGGTGCAAAGAGTGGCACCTAGACAGTGTGCATGAGAGAAAAACAGAAGTCTCAGAAGGTCAGAAATTATCCGATAAACTTTCTCAAGCGTTACATAGTCAGGCTAGATTTAGGAGTCTGCTCTAAATCACAAATGTCTGATAAGAGAGACATAATTTGTTGTGATTTAGCTTTTTTGTGACAAGTTCCATGCTTGATAGTAGGAAAGTGGTCGGACCAATATGAGATTTTGGGTGCCAACTAAGTAGGGAATAGGAGGAGAAGAAATAATGAATACGACTGTAGGTAATGTGTACAGGTGAGTAAAATGTGTAGCCCTTTGTAGTGGGGTGCAAAGTCCCCCAAAGGTCGACAAGTTGTAATGTTTGCAGATTGAAATGAGAATAAATTTTGACATAAAAATCACTTTCCAAATAACGTAACGGATCTAGCCTGCTAAAAAGATGAAATAGAATGTCAAAAGATTGTGGATGATGTACCTCCCGCTCGATTTGGGCAGGGAAGGATGGCACTGTACCCAATACATGAGAGACGAGAGTGTTATTTCTCTATCCACTGCCCTAGATATTGGCATAGATGTTGTGATAGGCAGAATCTGCCCCTTACGATACTGACTGTGATTTATTATGATCAATTTTGTTTTTGTGTGTTTTGCCTAATTTGACAACTGTTATATGCTGTATTCGACATCAGTACAATGTGTACATATGTGACTATGCACACATGCAAATGTTTGTCTGATTGTTTTCAATTTTTGTACTGTTGGAAAGCTTAAAACTTTTTTTCAGAAAAGATTGTGGATGAACTTCACCCTGTGCCCAGCCAGAAAGATTTTGCAACCGAGAGGCAAGAAAGTATAGCCAGGGATTGGGGAGGGCCAGGCCGCCAGAATTTTTAGGTCTTTACAACGTATCAAGTTTTTATATGGCTTGTTTTTATCCCCAGATTAGATCCCTAAAAATGCTGTTAAATGAATTAAACATTTTCCGGGGAATTGTGTAAAGCGTATAGAAGTTAGGGCATCAAGATCATTTTTATTAGATTATCCCTTGCATTATAGCTATTTCCTTTGGATTTTTTTTTCCAAGAATAACAGTTCCATTTGATCATTGAAGTTTGTGCTGTTTTGGTATTTTGTTTGTATTCTATTTCTTCAATTTGTAACTATATTTCTGATAGAGATGTAGAGCCAAAAGAAATCTCACGGCTCCAATTCCTTAGCCGCCATCAGGACTCCCCAGGTGCTGGTCTAATTGGTGCATCTTCACCTTGGAATGTAGTAGTATACGAACCACACTATCCAGATAATTCCAATACTTAAGACTTTATTGAAATTCACAGCAAATCCAGAGTAACAGTATATGTAACAGCAAATACCAACACAACAAACCCCCAACCAGCTACAACCTGATATGGGTTAAAATTATCTGATTAAAACACACACACACACTATCCAATGCTAGTAAAGCAAGTGTGATTATAGGGAGTAAAACTACCATTCCTACAAGTGTGGACTGCTAACATTTTGTGCAATAGCAACTCAAAGTTACATCCCATTCCATTTTTTCCCCTCATTTCTACATTGTATACCACTTTAGCATTTACTACTTAAAGTTTCTTCCCCTTTCTGCAGTGGTTATTATTCCTGGATTCACGATCCAAATGTCCTTTCCATCACAACAATTATTTTTATTTTATAATTGTGGGAAACATCTGAAGCATATTAAGAAGAGGTGGTTTGAGTATTTTTTTTTCAGCATCCCTTTGGTTCAGGGGGCAGGGGAAATATTTACCTATAGCTTGAGTTCCACTTTAAATGGATACAGGGTCTTTTTTGACTTCCATATCTAAACCCAACATGCATATGCAAGAAACCTCATAATGTTTGGGACTTCTCTATCTAGTACTGGAGTACCGAATTCCTCCAACAAGTGCAGGCAAAACCTATGAACATGGCTCTGTTGCATATAAACACTGGTAGATGCTTTGAAGAGAGGATCAAGAGCAAATAAAGATTGCCAGATAAACTGGAATAGTGTTCTCTGGGTATTCACATTCTAAACAGCATGGTAGTTACAAAGCATTGAATGGACATGGATGGGGGGATGCACAGCAAAGTAGTAGAGAATGAGTCCTAGAGAAAACTATACCTTGTGATAATGCCAAGTGTAAACTATGCTTTAGGATTTGCGCAAAAGTGTGGAATGCTAAGGCGCACTGTTGAATCACCCCAGAACACAATCAAGACATTACTGAGCTCAATATACCTTTTCAACCAAATGGCAAAGGGGACTCAGAGGTTGTTGGAAATGCATGCCAAGTGCCATATTGTGCTATGTGCTGCTAAGGCTATTAACACAAGGAGTAGTGATTTCTCATTACAAACAAATTCAGCTATAAACAGGAGAATGTAGGAAAAAAAGCACAAATAAGTAAACTATCCAGCTGATGTTTTGAATTTTAAACATCCATCTATAAAATACGTATTAAGTGTAAAATGAAAATGGTGTTATATGAAAACAAACCTGGAGCTGAACAAAATTATGTTGTAGTCCTCCAACAATTGGGCTGAATCTAGTAATCCCCCTTTCTTCTGCAGCTGTAGTTATAGCATCCAAGACTTTTTCCAGACTAAAAAGCAACAAGATACATCATAGCGAAAGATAAAAATGTCACTGTAACAAACAGCCAACACAAAAATTCAAAATCAATTTATAACACTAAAAAATTATAAACTTAGCAGATTGCTGCAAGGACACAGGAAAGTTTATGATGACAGTATTGTTTGTTATCGTCTTATTTCAGTATTCTTCATAAATTCACCAAATCTAATTAAATCACTTCAAGCAGATGGCTCGGAACAAAGAACATAAGAAATCCCAATTCACAAATGCACAGAAGTGTGGGTAAAAAATATTTATTGCATGTTAACAGTGTACTTCTGTCCTGTAAGAGATACACAACTAAACAAGGCATAATTAATTCACTTTTCAAAAGTAACATCTTACCATGTGATTGTTGTATCTCCCAGATGAGGTAAAGCAATTACATTGTAATTGTTATTGATGAGAGCACATTAATTTGTAACTATCAAAAAAAAAATTTAAATAAAAAAAAAAAATCTGTGAAAATCATAGTTTCAGTAAATATTTTGAAAGCAAACCAACTCTGTGTCTCATCAGCAATAAGCTTTCGACTAGAAAGCAAAACAAGATATGTTTGTAAATAAATGTTTAGGCAAAACAAAAATGTACTCCATGGCATGGCTATTCATAAATACCAAAAAGAAGAGAGAACATTGGGACTTTTCAGGTGCTACTGATTCATTTCATTAAAAATGGCCCTTTTTATTAGAGCAATGTTTAAAATCTATATATAAATGCCCCAAGAGAGAACTAAAACTTAATCCTAAACAATGTAGATTAATAAACAATAATTCACATTAAAATCCCTTCAAATATTCCATCAATTAGCACAGCCCTTGTATCTAACAAAATCGATCTTTCCTTTGAGGTAAGTGCTAATTCTACTGATAGGATAGGGGTGCTGTTCGATGTGTTTCTTAGGCCGATAGCTCCGCTTCATCCGGAAACTGATGGGAACACTCTCACTCACTCCCTCTATGACCATGAGACACATTTCTAAGAAAAGTCCATAATGCCAAAATAGCTACATTTCATATAAATGATTCACTTCTTTACATTATCGCCTTGCATCAGCAGGCCCCCATATCTCTCTCCCTGTGGATCTTTGCTTTTGTAGATATACATATAGGGCAATAAAGGCAGTCCCCGACTTACGGACGTCCGACATACGGACAATCCATACTTCCGAACCGAGGTCCACTGTTCTCCTAAATGTACCGGCAGCCGCCGGTACATTTAGAAGAACTGTGGCTGCAGCGTCCTGTGTCCCTTCAAATCCCTGCTGCTCTCCCCGCCTGTGTTGGCGGAGGCTGCAGGGACACAGACCGTTGCATTCCTCCGCTGCAGTCCCGGCCTCCTCTTCCCCCGGTCCGTCGGCTTCTCTTCCCCGGTCCAGTCGATCCTTCGCTCCATCGGTCTGGCCACGGCTCCCCTGCCCCGCCCCCCTGCCTCCTCTTCATCTGTAGGCTGGGAGCTATACTCTAGTGGATATTGTAAAATGCAATAGCCAATAGCAAGCTGGTTATTGCACCCGCCCACTGCCTGCTGTCAATCAGCATGGGAGGACCTGATAGAGAACTTTCTCCTTCAGGCCCCTCCTCTGCTGATTGACAGCAGGCAGTGGGCAGATGCAATAGCCAGCCTGCTACTGGCTATTGCAATTTTAAATATCCAATAGTGGGCTGGCTATTGCTCCTAGCATTAAAATAAAAAATAAATACAAAAAGTTTTAAAAAATTAAATTAAAAAAGACAAAATAAAAAAAGTTAACTAAATAAAAATTAAAACTGCAAACAAATAAAAAAGTTTATAAAATTAAAAATAGAAAAAAACTTTTGTTTGTGTGTCATTTTAAATTAAAAAAATGTTTTTATTCTATTATAATCTTCTGGACAACAGGAACAAACAGCAAAACAAATGTGACCCTTCCCTATGCTATCCAAAACTAAAAAATGTTTTTTTTTGGCTGGAGTTACACTTAAAAAATGTACCTGTTCCAACGTACATACAAATTCAACTGAAGTACAAACCTAAAGTCCCTATCTTGTATGTAACCCGCGGACTGCCTGTACATTAATTTTGAAATATCACAGAAATATTGTTTCCTGATTAAACACATCCATCGGCTAAAGGCATCAAACAGAACCCCTACCCCATTAGTAAATCAGCACTTATCTCAAAGGAAAGATCAGCTTTGTTATTAACATATGGACAATGATGCGTAGTGGGGTAATTGGGGGTATTTTCCTGTGCAAATTTAATGCGTAAAAAGTATTGTTTGTTTTTCTACATTGTTTAGGATTTTGTTTTAATTCTCTATTCCTGGATTTTCATGAATTTTGAACAGTTTAAAAAAGGGCAATTTTTTTATGAAAAAAAAGTTTTGTGGTGCATATTACTGATCAATGAAGTAGCACCTGAAAAGTCTTAATATCCTCACTTCCTTTGGTGTTTACATTAGTCTAAAGGAATTATGTGCAAGAAATAACTTGCCAGTCGTAAATGTATTAAAAAATGGTTATTCATGAGTAAACAGCATTACATCTGACTAACCAAGAAGTACTTACATGTTCTCTTCACCAACAATACAAATGGCAGATAATAACTTGACTACATCAGTCATCATGTTAGGTTGCTTGGGATCCATGGCTTTGGCTAACAAAGACAGGCTCCTTTCTTCAACCATGATCCTTTCCAAGCCATGCTGCAAGAAATATATGAGTAAGCCATGATCTGTACAGCAAAGCACATCAACAAATGTAAACCAAAAAAACACTGATATTTCCCCCAAAAAAATTCCTGACAGGCTATAAAAGCAGGAAATATAATTTCAACACTGGATGCTAAGCTACAGATAAGAAGTAACCCTAGCACATAATATAATCTCAGACATTAAAATATTTCTAGGGGAGGAGGTCTGGACATGGTGGTGTGAAGATGTGCATTGCAGAAGCTCTGTGTGTGCCGGCTTTAACACAGCTGCACAGGTATTGTACACCACTTTTCCAGATGTATGAGTACAAGACAAACTGTAGCTACTGCCAGGGATTTCTGTGGGCCAGCGACCTGGAGCTTTTTAAGTCCATAACACCGACACAGACAGTGGCCCATGAGCTAAATATGGTGCTCAGCACTTTCACCTGTAAATAAGGCAGCTTTCAGTCCCTGGCCTAGACAGATAGAGACATGCATCTCCAGCATCAAAGACAAGCCAGCAATTGACTGTTCATTTGGAAGCAGAGGATTCAGGACCTGGCCTACCTGGTGTTCCTTCCAAGGCTGCACAGTCTCTGATGGTGAGTGCCCATCAGGCCAACCCTCCCAAAACAGAAGCAGCAGTGCAGTTTCTATTAAGCAAAATATTACTGATGCAGCATTTTGAGGCATGAGCTACATGCACTAAAACTGACCTTAAAGGAGAACTATGAGGTGAGTGCTTTTCACTCACCTCATAGTTCTAGCCGACCTGTGACAATGAGACTGTCACAAGTCGGCTTAGTAGATCGGGAGGTGAGCGAACACATACCTATACACATACACAGCCCCTGGATCCCCCCCTCCCCGCTCCGATTCGCCAACACTGACTGGCGGATCGGCCGGGGGAGGGGGCGGGTACAGCTGGCTCTGCCTCTAGATAGGCAGAGTCAGCCAGCTGTCAGTCACACAGCTAGGCAGATCCAGACATAATTGTCGGGATCCGCTTCAGCTGCGGCATCTCAGTATACTGCGAGCCTAGGGTGACGGGAGGACGCTAGTTTGTGTCCTCCCATTACCCTAAGGTGAACTATGGGGAAAAGCCTTAACCCCATAGTTCTCCTTTAAGTCGGACCTGGGGATAATAAGACAAAATGTATCCCAGCTCAACCAGAGACTGAATACCATTGAAGCAGGCACATAGGCACTTGAATCATACATTGCACAACTTGAGGAAACTCGAGCTCAAAAAAACCACAGGCTCTCATTATACACCTGGGGCATGACGACCTAGAGAATTTCAATAGACAAAATACCATGAAGCTAAAGGGTTATCCCTTAGATGAAGAGCAATGAAGACTTGTAGCACCGGTAACCTGCATCTTTGATAATATTTTGGTGCACCAAGCAACAAATGAGATAATCTTGAATAGAGTGCATAGAGATGTGCAGGGTAGACTCTTATTTTTGAAAGGCAGCATAAATAGAAAGAAGGTTACCCTAGCCAATATCAGCATGCCAAATACTGATCAAAAACACAATACTTTAGTCCTGTTTAAATAGGCTAGCGGACTTCAAAGAAGGGACACTAATAATGAAGATGTTGCAGTCGTCCTCTCACCTTGTTTTATTTTTCAGAGGGCAGTAACCTAAATTGTTGCTTTTATTCCATGTTTCAATGTCCAGCAAAAGCTGCACTTCAGATGCTGAGAAAGAAAGCACTGCCATTCCTGACCACATGGCAAAGGAGACGGGCCTCTTGATTTACAGCTCTTCTCTCTTTTCCTGCACTTTCCTGACACAAGTGAGTTCACAGAAATGCAGGGGAAGGGGGTGAGTTCTCTGCCAGCCCAAAGACTGGGAGATGTTTGCTTAATACTGCACACAGATCATAGAAGTTATACACACTAGTCTGCCCCTCACAATTCCTGTTCCAGACTGGACTAATTCCAGGTCTGTCCAAAAGGACCTACAAATGCCCTAAATGGTCTGATTTATTGGTCAGTGATTAAATACAATTCACTGGCTATCTAATACCCTTAGAGCCTTTTTTTCTTCTGCATGAAAACAGGATTCCAATTAAGGTGTACAAGAATTTGGTCTTAAAAAAAACTGTTAAAAAGGTGTGTAGTAGAGGAGTAGAAGACAGGCAAATTGAAGACTTAATTCGTGCCCACAAGGGCAATGTAGGTGGCCACAACTAGACACTAGGGGAAGCGCCTCATGGCGGGGCTGGATTGAAGCTACTGTCCCTTCTTAAAGTGTCTTAAAGTGTATAGGGGGAAGGAGTTATTTGTCTGGGTGTTTCAAATCTTTGCAGATAAAATCAATAAAAAGGGGATGATGAGGAAACACCTTGGTGGATTGTTTAGGTCTATGAGAACCAAGGCCAGACACCATGTGAGTGGAAGAACTGTTGAATCTTCCACATTTGGGAAAGGAACAAACTGCCTCTCTTAGAAAGAACACAGTTTCCCTCTGCTTTGGGGAAGCAAATTACTGATATTCAGGTGGTGAAATCTCTTCTTTTAGGGGAAATCCTCAGAGTTCAACAGCAAGCCCCCTGGAGGGTCGTCGAGGAAATAAGAGATATTAAGCAGCTCTACATTAGATTTGATCAGAGAAGGTGGTGGTGAGTGCTCTAAACCCCTGCAATCAGGGGGTGCCACAAGTTAGAACAACTAAGTCATAACTGAAGGGCTTGTTCACACCAAATGCAGGCCAGATCTGCATGAGTTTCTGTACACGCAGTGCAGTGGGTTATACCACGTTTTTGATGCGTTCTGGGTCGTTTTTGGTAAAAAATTTAGTTGGTTTTTTTTTTTTTTTTTTAGTTTAACCAGTTGTTGTCCGCCAGTTTCAAAAAAACGGATGGACGGCACAGTCATATTGGCGGCTTGCAGTCTCCAGACGGCATTTTTTTTTTCTGCTTGCGTGCACACGGGCAGAAAGAAACAGTCCACTGTAAAGAGGCGTTACCGGCTGTTTCACATATACACGATCGGCGGCTCCATTGCCTGCCAATGGTGTATATGTGCTGGCTGCGTGCCCCCCTCAAGTGCTGCCGCCGTCGTGGCCCCCCTCCTGACCCCTCACCTTCAATACCGTGATCCGCTGCCCCATCTGTGGGCCGGGACCGGCTCGGGAGGGTGTCCGGAGCTAAGATGGGAGGGAGCTCAGCATCTTCCTCCTTGCTGACCTCCCTCCGTGCTGTGCATGCAGAAGTGATGTGTATTACATCACTTCCGCATTCACCTGTCAGTCATCTGGCTGCTATAGCCAGAGAGACGAAGCTGATGAAGCAGATTTCTGCTTCATCAGCTTCTTTTGGGGTCCTCAGGTGACATTAGGGGTCCTAGAGACCCCTAATGTCTCCATAAAGAGGACCTGTCAGTGTGCCTTTGCTATTATATAGGGGGATTGTTTCCCCCTATGTAATAGCAATAACAATAAGAGTAAAAAAATATATATATAAATAAAAAACGTTTTTAAAAAATAAGCCACATATAAAAAAAGTTTTAAAAACCCCCCAAAAATTCTTAAGTTTCCCACCCCCACGTTTACGCACATATAAAGTAAATACGCTTCCGGTGCACCAACGCACAAAAATTGCGCTTCACATATTACATATAACCACGAACGTCGCAGTGAGAGCAATCATTTTAGGGCCATCAATCACTGATAACACTAAACTGACGAGTGGTAAAAGCTTTTAAAGTGTCACCTATGGCCAATTTTGGGTATTATAGTTTTTTGCGCGCACGCAATTTGAAGGCTTGAAATGTTTGGTGTCTTTTTACCCGACGTGACCCCGTCTCTTATATTTTACCAAAAAATTGGGTAATAATAAATGTTTTATCATTTAATATAGGGGAAACAGTTTTATTTTTAAAAAATTTCGGTAATTTTTCCTTAATATAGTAAAAAATAAAACCCGCAGTGGTGATTAAATACCACCAAAAGAAAGCTCTATCTGTCCCTAAAAAATGGTATAAAATTATTTCAGTACAGCGTCGCATGACGGAATAAATGTCAGTCAAAGTACCGCAGCGCTGAATACTGAAAAATGGCTTGGATGGGAAGGGGGTATAAACACTGCGGACTTCAACTGGTTAAAATAGGCCTTTAGTGCGTTCCAGGGTGTTTGCATGTGTTTTTGATGCATTTGCATGTGTTCCAGAGCGTTCCAGAGCAGGTAAAATAGGGCTTGCTGCAGTTTTGTTACATGCTCTGGAACTGAACGCTGTGGTGTGAACTAGAGCCCAAAATACCATTGGAATACATTGGACTCAGTTTTGATCCGGTCTGTAACTGCTCTGCTCCTGGAGCGTGCTTGGTGTGAACAAGCCCTAAGCAACATGGTGATTAAAGAGAAACACAATCTCAAAGTGAATACAAACAAACATTGCCTGATGTGTATTAACTGCTAACAATAAAAGTAGGAATGCATACAAGATGGGAGATATTCCAAATGTAAAACATGTAACATACAACAGTATTTATTATTTACACATAAATTACCTTGTTGTTCATAAATGCCTTCAGGCATTGTACGACTTTGTGCTGGATTCGCTTTTCTATTTTGTCATGGCTGAATGAGATTTGAAAAATTAGTCAGTTCACAGAATAAAGTAACTTTAAACATACATAGTGCATAGTCATCTACATGTGGACTACATTTTATCAAAGTTTATATACCTGATCATTATTTTTGAATAATATGAGGGGATAAAAACACATGACCTAAAACAATGTTTCATTGAAAATGCTCAAAACTTCACATCCTGAATGATATATCAGAAGTTATAACAAAGCTATACATCGAGGTCATTGCTTTCCTAATACTACAAATCAGCATTTTGTAGGGGTAAGCAATCCTTTTGTTTTACAAACAAGGGTCACACAACTCTAGCTTTCAAGGTCATGACAAGGCATAAACAATAAGAAAAACCTTAAAAATGTGGTCCTTGGGGCTGTAAGTCTGCAGCAATGAGTCAAATGCTATTGTGGTAAGCCTTCAAAAAATATTCCAACTGATAGGTTAGGCAAATATATATGTCCCAAATAACTGCTTGAGAACTACATCTTTGTTTTGCTATTTCCAACCCTAGGAATGCCCCTTGTTAGAAGTTATCAAACTTTTAAATGTGCATTAACTGACTATCCAGACCAGTCAATGGTTTGAGTTTATGTAATATAGCTACATTTGTTTAAAATCCAACAGGTGAAGCAAGCACCCCAAGCTGCTGGTTAACGGATACACAACAGGGAACATTCTTCAAAATGTGTATTAAAAAAATGTACAGCAGATAATAGACCCTTTGCTTTGCAATCCCACAGAGCAAATACAGTAAAATTAGGACTATCACTGGTTAACTTAGAGAAACCATACAGAAAAGAGTGGGGAGGCTAACAAAAGAGCAAATATTTCCTGAATCAGTTTAAATGTGCTGGCTTAAATATACTCCCTATGCTTATTTCTTTGTGCCACTTTGTGATACCTACATAGACAATCAGATACTACAGCTACAAGCTTGCTCAGAGAGATAGCTGGCTTGATTTATATCGTTGTGCTTCATCAATCTCTGCCCTAACCCATTCTACACATGAGTCTATCAACTTTGGAAAAGGATTTAGAGAGTATATTTGAGAATTAGGGGGATTATTCAAGTACAATGTAATTTCCAGCCAAATTCAATTAAATTGGCCACTAAGGGACTCATTTGTAAGTGTGAGAAGAGGACAATTATAATAAGGGGACATTTACTTGATTGCGTTTTCTAAATAACAAACTTAAAACAATTGGAAATACTTATAAATGGTTCAGGGCACACAACTGACATACATCAGCTGGAAAAAGGGGTATTAAATGCATTATTCAGGGCTGCTAAAGAAAAATATATTTAAACTTGTGTTATCTTTATATGATTTTGTAAGCTTTTTCAAAAAAGAAAATTTACAGAGCTTGAATGAGTAAGAATAGAGGTAATACAGAAATTTTAATATATCAATTGAATGAGAGGTTTTAGATAAAATTTTAGAGGACAGAATACACTTGAACAAGAGGGCATACACAACAGCTAAAAGCTATGCCTGCAAGTAAAGTAATGAGACTGACATAACAGAAAAAAACATAGAATAATTGTACAACTGATGCAACTAAAGCAATAAGGGCCAGAGTTAAAAGGCATCCTCAAAAATGCAAAGTGACCTTAAAAAAAAAAACTATTATCATTTCACTGCTCACTTTTAGAATATAGAACTGTATATAATTCAGGAGAGAAAAATATTGTATTTGTCAGTTGTTCACTTTCTGTCCTAGTGACAAGGGACAACAAAGACAGGAAGTGGTGAAAACTTTCTTCAATGGGGTACAAACACTGAGAAAAAAATGAATTATTGCCTATAAAATCCCTTTCTCTGATGTTCATTGAGGGACAAAGCACTTCTTGAGTAAATGCCATGAGTTAAACTGCAGTCTAGGATTGGATGCTTCAGACAGACCTGCTCGAGCTTGCTATTTCCGTATGGTTCTGGTTTTTGTGTTGCACTCTTTGCATCTGGGAGTACTTGCTGGGCTCTTTCTCTTTGGCTTAGGCTAAAAAGAAGATTAAATACTTACCTGTAAAATCATTTTCTTGGAGTACAGTACAGGACACAGTATCTTAGTCTTAACCACAAGTTATGCTGCCCCCTTAAGGTAAGTGGACACTGGCAATAATAGGATTTTTTTGTATTCGCCATAAAATTCTTTTCTCCTAGTTCAATGAAAGACACAGCAAAGATATTTAGATCTTGACCATTGGGTTATAGTGGCACACCATCAGGAGAAGGACACTAGGCAGAAAAAACAAAAGTACAGCTAGGGACGGCCCCCATTTGCGAGAGGCAGCTCTGTTTCTAACAAAGCAGTACACAACACAGCGACTGGACACCGCTAGAACAACCAGAGAGGTGGGTGTTGTGTCTTTCAATAAACTTGGGTCAAATAATTTTACGGTGAGTACAAAAAGAAATCCTATTTTCTCTTCGGCTCTTTGAAAGACACAACGGAGATCTTGACATCTTGACTATTGGGACATCCCAAAGGAATAGCTACTAAGGGGGTGGGAGAAAAAAAACTCCCCTCAGTAAGCAACACAAGAAGAGCTCCCACGCGGAGTGACATGCAAATGCTGCACCACAGGGCAAAAATACCACATTGCAATCCAGGAATGGTAACCAAAGAGAAAGAGCCCAGTAAGTACTCCCAGATGCAAAGAGTGCAACACAAAAACCAGAACCATACGGAAATAGTAAGCTCGAGCAGGTCTGTCTGAACCACCAAATATAGTGGAGCAAGAAGCAGATTTCCCTCAAAAGGAGCCACAAGGAAGGCAGGAAAACACCAAATCTACAAAGGAGACAGAACTTGCAAGAAAATAAAGCACGGTACAAGCCACCCTGGTATGAAAATAGAAAATATATCAGCGGACCTTAGGCTGAACCTGGTTCAAAAAACAAAAATAGAGATGGGGACATACAACCCTAAAAACCTGTCTAAGGAAGAAAAGTCTCCTCACGCACCAAGGAAAAAAAGGAATGCCTCCCAATCTTGCAGGCATATGGAAAGTAGGACCTCTGGCTAGAACCACATGGTGATACCAGATACCAAAAAAAAACAAGGATCATTAAACTGGACTTTAATGGAAAAGTCGACAAAACCAAAGACCAGGAACATGAAGGAAAACCAACCCTCATGACAGTAAAGCACGCAAAGCAGGAGTAGCCCATGAAGCAGCCACAGATTTCAAACAGGTCGTAGTACTAAGAAAGTGGGGGTCCAGTTCCGACATCTCCCACCTGAAACACAGGTCCGGCATCCAATGCTGGACTGCAGTTTAACTCATGGTCCGGCAATACTTCCAGGAGCAAGAACCATGCCTCCATGGCCAAATACCGCACACCAGGCAGACTGCAACCCAACAGCCCAGGTCTGACCAGTGAAAGGTGGGGAAGGAGGAGTGTGCAGATCCGCCCAGACCAAAAGCCGCCAACCTCCCAAGTTGCAAAAAATAATGGGTACAATATACACCGCAACCACGTGGAGTCCAACTGAATCTTAAATCAGAGAAACACTAGTAAAGAGGCGAGTGTGATAAACAAAAACGTTTAGAGCTCAAGGGTATTACTGAGAAACAGGAAGGAGGACCCTCTGGGGACAATTCTCGAGAACCACAAAGTGTAGGACTCGATCCTAACCGGGACAGCTGACATCCCTTAATCTACAATCTACTTGTCCTGATATAAAAATAAATATTTTAACTAAAACTGTATTGAACCGTGCTAAGAAGGGCTTCTCATTGGTCAATGTGGTCAGGTGACCACGCTGACAAATGAATGCTTGCAAGTTGTTCCCTGAAAGGTAATTATAGCAGTGGGGAGAGGGCCAGATTTGAGCTGGTAATTCCATTTTCCCAAGTTCCCAAACGTGCTCTTTAATGCTTATTGTGCGTGTTAGAGAGCATGCTGCCCAGCTACCACAATATAGCACACAGTGTAAGGGAAGCAGCACTCCATGCACACACAATGCCCTACACAAGAGTTTATTCACATGCAGATGGCGGGGGCAGTGGGGTTGGTTTTCATTTTTTTAATTCTTTTATTATTGTTTTACTGTATCACTTTTTTATTTGTATTTATTTTATTTTTTACTTTTTTCTATTTTTATTCAGGTCAGGGGTGCAGAATTTTTTTTAAAAAAACTACTTGTCCAAGGACTAAAACAGGGGCCCAATCTACTTGTCCCTCATGACAATCTACTTGCCCCAAAACAAAAAATAATTGTAACCAAAACCCTATTTAACCATGCGAAGAAACGCTTCTCCTTGGTCAGAATGGTCACCTGGTAGCGCTGGCCAACGAGTGATCGCAATGTGCAAACAATAAATGAAAAAAAAAAGCAGTTGTGAATAAGAGAGTTATGTAAAGCATTTTCTCCAATATCAGCAATGTAACAAGGGTTACCAGTCAATACAGTCTATGAAATGTTACTATTCAATGTACTAAGCATATTTTACATTAAACCAGGAAAAGCACATTACCTCTTTCCATCCACCATTCTTTCTAAAATATCCAGCAGCAATCCAAGGCCATCCTGTCCAAAGTTTTCAACCCAGCTGAAAAAAAAAGTTAAATATTATATATACATACACACACACAATAATATCATAGTATGCATATAAAATATATTACATACAGGTATTGCATATACTATAAATTTAATTGCAAAAAAATATATAGATTTGGAACAAGCATAAAAAAATGCACAGAGAAAAGAAGAGATTGGTCTATGCTATACGTCTACAGTCTTGGAGGTTTATTTTTAAAGGGTAATACAAAAGGACCTCAAGGACTCCAGTGTGAAATGCATTAAGGCAGTGATCCCCAACCTTTTTATCGCCGTGGACCGGTCAACGTTTGATAATTTTATCGCGGCCCGCTGAGGGGGGGACGTTGATTGTTTATATTTTAGATTGTTTTGATGTAATAATTTTAATTTAATTGTATTTAAACATGCCTTCAAAATAAAATACAGTTACACCAAAAAATGAATATGTCACCAGTACTGTGTGGGCGGCAATATAATATATATATATATATAATTAATCATAATTAATATATATATGTATTTAATCACCACTGGGGGTTTTATTTTTTACTATAATAAGGAGAAATTACTGAAATTTTTTTAAAAAATAAGTTTTTTTTAACATTTGGTTATAAAACAACTAATATTACCCACTTTTTTGGTAAAATATAAAAGACGGGGTCAAGTCGGGTAAATAGACACCAAACATGTCAAGCTTAAAAATTGTGCGCATCACAAAAAAATAGCATACCCAAAATTGGCCATAGGCGGCGCTTTAAACGCTTTTACAGCTCATCAGTTTAGTGTTATCAGTGATTGATGGCCCTAAAATTATTGCTCTCATTCCGACGTTCGCGGCGATATGTAACATGTGCGGCGTAATGGGCGCAATCGTCGTTTTCGCAGGTATGCGC